TTGATAGTGTGTGAGGTGGCACACAGTTTTGTCATTAATTTTAACAACATTTAAAATAATCAATAATACAAATTTCTACACCTCACACAATGTCAATATTAATGTACACTTTGAATGTACAAATAGCATATTCATAAATTAAAGGATGAGTTGTGTGTAAGGTGAATTTATTTTTCTCAATTAAAATCTAACGTGTACAAATTTATTAAGTCTATATCTTGCTCATGTTTATAACAATAAGCCACTTTTATTGACACGTTTCATGGGTCTCACAGTTAATAATCACTTTTCGATCAATCATTTTTAACAGTTTATAATTTAAATGATTTATAAATATTTTTCAAACATGTTTTAAATGGATAATGATGACACTTGATCACAAAATCTCTGTTCACTATGACATTGTATTAAATTCTTGTTCGATTTTCATTATTTCCATATTTCTTTTCTTTTCAACTACACATTATTTAATAAAATAATATTGCACGCAAATTTAAAATTTTTCTTTATTTTTTTATCCACACATTATCCATTAATTTACTATTTCAAAATACATTCTACACCAATTAAATATGAATACGTATAAAAGTTTAGGTTACTCTATCAAATAGTGCTGGTATTTCAAGATGGAAATCTAGATCCAACGGCATTGGTGCAAAGGAGTGTATGAGTTGGATGGTCTATGTTGAATAATGCTATGACCATAATGAAACACAGTTGTTCGACTTTTTTTAATGAGCAGGTCTATATGTAATTTGGCTTTCAGAATTTATATTGAAAACATTTGATAGCAATTTGTTGGATAATGACAACGAATAAATAAATAAAACGCAACAGATCAAACCAGATGATGTCACTCCTACATTTGATGCAATTATGTGAAGTATTTTTCTGTACAAGCAGATCAAATCCTTTTTCACCCCTATCCTGCGAAGTCTAATTACATCCCCTAAAAGGTCAAAATTCAAAAGCTAGTTCTAGACTCTACACAGCTTTTCACTTTTGGGAGTTGCAAAGCACAGAGTCAAATTTGCAACAAATAATATATCACCATTTTGAAGTATTGTACTTACTTGCGCATTTTCTATTTTAATAAAAAGAAATTGTTACTTTGGCATCCTTATAGACTCAGCTCTGTCAATGTAAAAGCCTTTTTGCTACGTTAATACATCCACCCCTGCAATACGACTCTATAACAATGTCCTATCATGTAATCTTTAATATAATTATAATCAAAGTTCAGTGCAACATATGAATAATTAGGTTAAATTAGGGAGAGTACGATCCTATCCACGTGGCTTCTTGCTAAGCAAATGCCAAGTAAGATTCATCATTTTAGAGGCCATTGAATGGAAATATATCTCCTTTCATTGCCTTAGACAACAATCATTTACGAGGTGATGAGGTCACTTTTCATCGCTTTGTTAACTTCAAAGTTGTATCGAGCGTTGCCCAAAGCCTCATCTAAAAATGCCTTCAAGGTGACCCAACATAATAGAGAGTTGTCTCCTCTTCTAATTAAGGCAATAAGAGAAGACCCAACCCTCAGTCACATTAGATGGGCCTTCGAGGTCCATAGTGATTAATGTTTGAATCCTGACGCCTTGTACAAGTTATGATTTGACTCATCGAAGCACGTGTAATTTGATTGACATAACATTTTTGCAAGAGCGATTGGAAGTCAAATTTCTCCTTTTTTTGCGTGGGATAATGCGTGGGGAATCATAGACATATGATGGCTAGGATGTAGCAACATTGATCTTGACACGTGGATCATTGGAATGGAATCACATGTCAAGCATCTAAAGTGCCTAAGTTCATCCTTGTATATAAATAATCGACGCCTTTGTAAATGTAACCATTAATTGGCATTTCTTTTGAAATATAAAATCTAGCCCTAGTTTGGTTCTGATTTTTTAAGTAAAAAAAATTAAATTTTTGACCGTTAATATAGTCAGCCTTCGTTTTTGACTTCTTCACTCACATGTATGACTAATTTTTCTCTCTAACAATCAAAAAATTGATTCTCATAATCAGTACCAAATGGGCTCCTATATTCTCCTAGTCTCACTTCATGTTTCTCCCTACTAAATTATTGTGTATGTGTATTAATTTTAGCATCAAAGAATGCACATTTACGATCCCTCCTACCTTCGTTTGAAGATGCCTCATTCGAACATGCACGACCCTATTGTTTAAGTAATATATTTGTGGATGACAACGTGCCCGTTGACAAGTTGGATCCAACTAGATTCGAAAGTTGACAAAAATTGCAGCCTATCTTTTTAACATTTCGTTTATTGTGATCTAGTATTTTTTGACCGTTTACATCCACGAATGCCATCGAATGTCTATTAATTTGACAATATTTTTACATGGAATCCATTAATACACTCAAAGGTTGAGAGCGGTAACACCAATCATCTGGATGTGTCCGCCACCAACCTATAAAGAGGGATAGAGAGAGAAGTAGACATTTATAAGAGGGTCCCGGAAGTAGTTAGAGATTTGAGACTAAACTTTGTTACGTCATTTTCAATTTATAGTTATGGGCTAGAACTGCATGTGGAGATGAAATTTCAGTAAAACAGCAACTCTTGGCGGTTGCGTTTTCTTCAGTGGACAGTGGAAATTATGTCCAAACATATTTTTCAAATTAAAAATTTTATTTAAAAGTTTTTTTTATTCAAAATTCATGTGATAATTAAAATTTTTAGCATTAATAAATAATATTATAAAATTAAATTTATGTACCTACTCATCCCATCCCACATCAAATTTCACTTCAAATCATAATTATTTGGAGCCTTGCTACATGTATATCAATATTTACATGAGGGATTACATAATATCTACATGACACTCTACTATTTGTCAATTATGTTGTGTTATATGTATATCAAATTTTATATACAGGATTACATAATATTTACATATTTGCTAGTTTAAAATAAAGTCATTTTTTCATCAAATCTTTTCCCTCCATATCATTTGCGTTAACTGCTCATGTACCATTTTTATGTCTAAGTAGCAAAATACTTGCTAATTTAAAACATAATCAACTTTTTCATTCAATCTTTTCCTCCGCATCATTTTCGATAACTGCCTATGTACCCTTTTTACATACAAGTAGGCAAATCCTTATTTTCCTTCTCACTTCTCTCTATCCTCTCTCTATTTTCTTTCTCATGAGCAATGCCTTCGAAATACATCGTCTAGTGACTTTGTGACACCATTGCGACAACGACCGCTAACAGATGATGTTGTCGCGACAATGTTGTGTGTGCTGCTCTACGCACTACAGTAACCACTGCAGCAACATTGATGATTTTGGATCTGATTTGTGTAGAGATTTTGTTGGTAGCATTTGTAGTTGGTGGTGATGGTGATGTTGGATGTGGTGGTGGAAATGGCTATAGCAATGGCTCAAGCTACTACAATAGTTTTGAGGTAGTTTTGTTGGTGGTACTACTGCTAGTGAGGTGGTGGTAGGGAGGTCAGGTAGGAAGAATGTTTGTGACTAATTATTTGGTTGATTATGATCAATAAATTGGTTAATGTGTGATTGATGAAATAGAGAATTTGTGACCTAAAAAATGTGAGATTTCGACTAAATTTGTAATCATGATTTACAATTTGTCAAGTTGTAACCAATTAATTTAATAATATGTGATAAATGAATTTAATAATTTGTGATTGTGATAGAGGCTAATTAGGGGCCCGTTTGGTAGGGATTTTGAAAATTGATTTTTTGACCGTTAGAAGAAAAGTGGGGTCCACATGTGAGAGAATAAGTCAAAAATTACGGCTTGAATAGTAAAATAACGGTCAAAAAATCAATTTTTTGGGGCAAAAAATCCCTACCAAACGGGGCCTAGGTATACATATACTCATCGATGTTTGTATATTATTATGTAACATCTTTGAGATTGCATGATATGATTATTATTTCAATCTATAGATCTTCTCTATCTCTAAATATTATCATTCTTGTCATGTCTAGAACTGATCTACATTCAATGTTAGATATATCGTCACCTATAAAATGGATGAAAAATCAACTAACAAGATCCAAAAATTAAGGTAGTAGTTAGTTTGCATTTTCATTTTTAAAACGATTTTTAGTTTTCCCCGAAAACGTAGGGATGGTAGTGGGTCGAGTTGAGCCGGTTCGGTTCGTTAACCCAAGAGCTCGGCTCGGGCTCGTGGCTCGTTTTTCACGAGCCAAGCTGAGCTCGGCGCGGCCCACGAGCTCGTGTACTCACGAGCCAAGAGCTCGTGGACCGAGCCGAGCCCACGAGCGGTTCGCGAGCTCGTGAATTTTTTTCCTAATTTTATTAATAAAATTTTATTTTTTTCCACATTTTTGGACGAGGCGGCTCGTGGGCTCCGCTCATTGGACGGGACCCCCAGCTCGGCTCGAGCTCGGACTCGTCAAATGACGAATCCGAGCAGCTCACGAACCGAGCTTTGACGAGTCGAGCCGACTTGGCCCAATTGACATCTCTACAAAAACGGCTTGTTTTTCGCGTTTTGAGTGTTTTCGACATTTATAATTGAAAACGATAAAAAGTCGTTTTACGTTTTCAGTTATAAATTTTAACTTGTTTTCGAAAATGCATTTTCCGCATTTTCGAAAACGGAAAACGAAAAATGGACCGAAAACGATAAACCAATCACGGCCTAATATTTTTGCTTGCTATTAAGAGAATATTTTGTTGCTATCCTCTTTATAATAGGCAACAGTTCCACTCAATTAACCAGATCCAAAAATTAATATTTTGTTGCTATCCTCTTTCTAACAGCTCAATTCAATTCTAAACTTTATGAATATTTTGTAGAATAAAAAAAACACGGAATTAACCACTACACAACAAACTGCAGTTTTATGAATTCAAAAAACAAAATTCCCAATTTATTTCATTCCCCGACCACAGAATTTCCTTTCATTTTAACCCCTCACGCGCACATAATAATACAAAATGCATCCTATCACATCACACGACATCGTTCCGGTTCACCCTCTCATTCTCTCTCTACCGTTACTCTGTCTACAGTTTTATCTCACTAACCAACCCACGATAGGATCAGAGCTCCCAAAGCTAAAACCCGATTTCAATACTGTGATGTCTCCTCCACTCTCATCCGTATGCAACTTTTCTCTCTAAAACTCTACTCTTTTGCTCTACAATTCGCCATTGAAATATTGCAGAAAAATTCTAAGTTTTCAGAATCAGGATCGGCCCTGCGGTAGCCCGCCCCGCCCGAGTGCGCGTTGGATCGGCCAATGTGACTGGGGCCATTATCGATGGGAAAAGAACGATGAGCAAAGCTGGAGAACGAGAAGAAGACGAAGAGTGTTTTCACGATTCCCTTGACCGGCTGCTTTCTTCATCCAACACCTCCTGCTCCTGCTCTCCTTCCAATTCGGATTCTGAAGAGGAACCCAACCCGAATTTCAGCTTCGGTGCTTCGCCAGAAGGCAATGCCGTCGGACCCGAACAGGTTCCCAGGTTTCCCAGGGGGGTGTTCCACAACTACGACGTTTGGATATCCCAGCCCTCCTCCGTTGAGGAACGTCGACTCCGCCTCCTGCACCAGATGGGCCTCACCAGTGACCCTTCCCTCCTCCGCCACCGCCCTTCCCTTTTGCCATCCGCCCAACCGGAATTCTTTAACCGAATCATCTCTTCCGATCACTTGATAAACACTGGTGAGGCTTTTTCTTCCGTCGATAATAACAAAAATAATTCCAAGATTCCTAGAGATAGTGATATGGTTAATAATATTGATATTTATAATGATAATAGTAGAGTGTCTGGGATTGTCCGATCAAAATCGGAGGGGGACTGTAAATCGAGTTCTGAAATTCATTTGATTAATTTAACTTCTACTACTGGTGGAATTGGTTTATCTGTAAATAATGATCATCAGAGCCATAGACAAAGCTGCCATGACAATGTCAAGAAATCAAGAAGCCACAATAGTTTAACCGCGAGCAGTGTGGTTTCCCCAAATAAGCCACCGAAAGGGAAGATTAGAACAGATTCCTTGCGTAATGGGAGCTTTAGTGAATCATTGTCAATTTTGGGGAATGAGGGGTTGGACAAGGTGGCGGAGAGTACTGGGGCAGACAATGTTAGTGCAGTGTGTGTGATAAAGAATCTGGCTAATGGGAAGGAGTTTGTGGTGAATGAGGTGAGGGAGGATGGGATGTGGAAAAAGATTAAGGAAGTGGATACAGGGAGGCAGTTGACCATGGAAGAGTTTTCTGAGATGTGTGTAGGGACATCTCCCATCGTGCAAGAGTTGATGAGGAGGCAGAATGTGGAGGATGGGAACAAGGATGATCTGTCTGCAAATGTGAATGTGGACTTGGGGGGTGGATCGAAGTTTAAGAAGAGAGGTAGTTGGTTGAAGAGCATAAAAAATGTAGTGAATTCTGTCACTGGGCATAAGGAGAGACGTAGTAGTGACGAGAGGGATACATCATCTGAGAAGGGTGGGAGGAGATCGAGCTCTGCTACAGATGATAGCCAGGATATGTCTTTTCATGGGCCTGAAAGAATTCGGGTCCGACAATATGGGAAGTCTGTTAAAGAACTTACGGCAGTATACAAAAGCCAGGAGATACAGGCACACAATGGGTCAATTTGGACTATAAAGTTTAGTTTGGATGGCAAGTATCTTGCAAGTGCTGGTGAGGACTGCGTGATCCATGTGTGGCAGGTTTCTGAAACAGAGAGGAAGGGTGATTTGTTGTTGGATAAACTGGAAGATGGGAATTTTAATCTTCTGTTTCAGGCTAATGGATCACCAGAGCCTTCTTCAATGTCACCAAATTTAGACAGCCATTCAGAGAAGAGGAGAAGAGGGAGATCCTCTATAAGCAGAAAATCAGTGAGCTTTGAACAGATTTTGGTGCCAGAGACAATTTTTGCCCTTTTGGAGAAACCTATCTGTTCATTTCAGGGACATCTGGATGATGTGTTAAACCTCTCCTGGTCCAAGTCTCAGGTTAGTTTTCAAATTCCTCGATATCTTTTATTCTGCCCTTCCATCAATTTGAGGAACAAGTTGATGGTTTTCCTTATTTTCTATTTATAGTTGAAAACTGAAATTGCTTGTGTCATTCAAATAACAAATCACTCAAAGATTATTAGACTCATAAATAAACTTTTCATGCAATTTAGACCATGTCTTGCTATCTGTTTAAGAAGGGTCGACATATAGTCGAGATTATCAATCTTTCACCATCCACAAGATTTATCTTACACTAGTTTTACAGGACAAGGAGTAATACCCAGGAGTACAGTTAATTTTTGGTGTTCAAGTGAATAAGCAATGATGTTTCCTGGGAAGGAAATAATAATTAGGCAATAAGAGACCCTATCCGCCATGTTTGGTTAGAATTTCAAAAAGGAGCGTATGGAATTGATTGAGCTGTTTATGTTACTCGCAGGGTTTGTGGGACTTGTTATGATATCTGACATTGTTTATTTTCTTGAAAGTTGAAGCTACATTGAAAACATTTCTTGTTCATTGAATAAGTCAAGCAACACATCACGATTTTTGGTATCTTTGTAATATTCTTTTAGTGGTTCCAAACAGTAGGCAATCTGTTGATTGAGAAGTTAAGTGATACATAAGGTTTTTATCATTATTGTGCTCGAAGAATATCAAGCTAATTGAAGTCGTGATATGGCTTATGAAAACAATGCTCCAAAAATTAATGCTGTAAGCATTTTTTTGATGTTGTATCTTCACTGGTTCATTCATGCATTTGTCAGATAAAGATTTGCTTCAGAGCACCTACTCTGTAGATGACATGTTTAAAATTCAAGAAGCATGTATTTGATATATGTTATTCAGCAATTAAAAATTCCTAAAGATATGGGAGTTTGTAAGCCTTGTTTGAGATGCGTAGTGGCCTGTGTAAGTTTCTTCCATCGTCAAGAAATATTATAAGGGACTTTATATGCTAGTTTAATTGTCTACACAATAGGGATACAAACTGTTTATTTGAAATTTGGTTGAGAGATGAGTATGTCTTAGGGGAGCTTGATGCAAAGAAATCTGAGATTGATTCAAAGCCAAAGGTTGGTTCTATGAATTATGTGGTAACTCAAAAGCAGATGCTTGGTTCTCTGATACAATATGGATTGTATGTGATGAAAGTGAAATTCGTAACTTATATTCTTGTGGGGACCCCCATGTCTTCCTTCGACCTCCTGCCCCCACCCGAAGAAAAAACCTAAAAAAGAACTTGACCAAAAATATTCATCCTGCTTGAGTTTAACAGGTTGGTGCAGAGATACCAAATGACATGTGAATAATATGCAGGCCGCCATGGGAAAGTATATAGCTTCTTGTTTAATATCATCACGTATCTGATCTAGATAGTGAATGTTCCTCATAATAGCGTGTTTCTACCTAAGATGAAGTCAAATGATTTTGAGTAAAAATATAATGGTTAGTACTTTCACTTGAAACGTTAGTCCATTGCGATATAAATTTCGAAGGTCTAATATAAAGATGAATCATATTGGAGAAGCTAACTATAAATTTCTAATCCTGCCTGAAATCCATAGCCAGGGAAAAGTAAAACAAAATGAGCAGGTCATGAGCGTGTTTATTTAAATTAAAAAAGTAAATGTTTGCATCTCTAAACAGGTTTAGATGACTTACTGAGTAAAAAGATTTACTTTTTTTGAAGTAATTATTACAATATTGTCAGGATTAGCAACTTTCTTCCAACTTTGAACAATATAAAAATAATTTATATTAAAACTTACTTATTTACAAGTAAACTTTTTATGCTTATCCAAGTCTCTAAATCAGGCAGTTTATTCCTTTCTGCATGAGAACTTTTATTGAAGTAACACATATAATGCAGTGACAAATATATGTATTAAATAAGATAGTAAAACTCCTTTGACATGTCTACAACAATTGCGAGAGTTTTTATATTTAAGTGTTCCCTTGTGAAGATAGAAAGAGTGTAACTGAAGTAGAGTGCTCAGCAAGTAGCTGAAGGTTTAGTATTTAAACTCCGTTATTTGAAAAGTGAAAAGAGGATGAACCTGAAGTTGCAAGGTGGATTATGAAGTGCAGTAAATATTTGCTTTCTGTTGTTTGGTTTAAGTTAGAACATCATGATAGGAGTGTATGACTTAATGAAGAGAAGGAAGATTGGTTTATGATTTCAATATTCTTAAGGTTTTGCGCTGTATGCTGCCCAAAAAAGGGTGATGAGTGGCACTTAAGAAAATTAACCAGGGGCAATTTTTGTTGGCTAATGAGAAAATAAAAGCTGATACTGTTTTGTTGATTAACATGTCAGCTGGAAGTTTGCAATCTGCTAATAGTTTGATATGATGAAATGTCTGATAAGTAGGTGTACAGGTTATTTCCCTCTCTGAATGTTCTCAAGCTTTTTTGTTCCCCGGTTTCTTTTCGTCTTATTGAGTGCTGAGAATGTGATATGTTCTTCTATAAGTTAAACAAATAACTTGTTTTCTTATGCATGAATAACGAAAAAACAAGATTTTTTTGTGTTCTCAAGAAAGCGGATGGTTTGGCTTGTCTTGACTCATTCATTCACAATAAAAAGAAGCCAATTGTTGATGTGCAAGGTTGCTTGTAACTGCATCATTTTAGGCCTCATGATTCTGTGGAGTTCACCTCACCTCTTGCTTGTCTAGGGACGTTTTAGATATTCCAGATTTGTTATTCTCAATGTTAAGTAGTGGTAGAGTCTTCTCTTGCTTTTTGACATTCTTACTGATCTCCATTAAGATCTTATTTTTTAATACTACATTCTTCCAACGGAAATCACTTTTTCCCTCTTCATTTATGTTTCCCTTCACCAAATTGATTGCGTGCATTTAAGTTGAGCACTTACAAAGGTTTTGTTAAGACATCTCACTTTTGGCTTTCTTTTCTCTCCAGCAATTGCTTTCTTCTTCAATGGACAAAACAGTGCGGCTGTGGGACTTGTCGAGCAAGTCCTGTTTAAAGATTTTTTCTCACAGTGACTATGGTAATTATCTGCATTCTATATTACTTTATTCGAAATTTTTTGTTTTTAAAATTAGAAAGGTTATTTCCCACAATGCTTATTTCAATTTTTTCTTTTTGGGAGAGGGTGGGGGTGTTGGTGGGTAAGCAGACTGATCTAAAGGTATTGTTGAGATCATTACCTGACTGGACAAGTTTTCTTTAATCTTAATAGTTCTTATGCTATAAAGTTGATGATTCCCGCCAAAACTTTAATCTATTGAAAAGCGAAGATGGGTGTGGGATGGAATCTCTCTTCTTGGATTCGTCCTTTTAAGCCACGGATATAAGCAGCTGGAAATGTACCAATGATATGCCAATTTTTGTGCTTGTGAAGCTGTATTAAGTCTGGTACCTGTTGGAAGCAGAGGGCACTTGGGACCTTTCAGCAACTATTCTTGTTGGCTATAGGGTTTTTGTTGGTGACAATTAAGGATGAGGGAAAGGAGTTTTGTAGGCATTGAGAAGAGTTGTCGGAAGGAGACCAGAGAAGGTAACAAGAGGTGCTGTTTGTCCAATGGGATCCTATAAAAAGATTGTTTTGGGGAGTGTTCACAACTTATCTAAAGGATATAAGATCAAGGGCGAATACAGGGGTCAAGTTCAGTTAGGGCGCACTGCGAGCGTTGAAAGCTTACTATCGACAGCCAACATCTGTGATAGTGGGGTTGTTTATTTATATTTAATTAAATAAATATTCAAAAATCGTACAGATTAGAGTTAGAAGAACTAATTACACCACTAGACTAGAACTAAGTACGAACTTTCATTTTGGATGAAAAAATGATTCCATGATCTGCAAAATGCCCTAATTTATTTTTCAATTAAATAGACAATATATATTAACAAAATGTCAATATTCAGTTTACAATTAAAGTTAATTAAATAAGCATTATTATATTAAAAAAATTGAAATTATTTATGTGCTTGTATGATTTCAATTTTTCGCAATCGATTTTTTGTGAAAGAAAAGTGGGATCTTTTATTAATTAAATAAATTTTGTTGAAAGATTCCTTATGACACAATCTTCCTACAAATTCATCTACCATTAATTGACCAAACTCTCAAATCAATTGATTGAAGGGAAAAAAGAAAAGAAAAATAAAATCAAGAAGAGGGACAGCACCGATTTGAATGTTTCTACTTGCATTAAACCAGTATTGAACATATATTATTTTATTACATTATGTGCTAAAAATCAATAAGTTCCATGATGGTAAAGTGATCAATATGCTTGAGAAATGTAGTAGGTTCAAATCACCTTTCGTACATTTGTTTTGGTAAAAATTGTTGAAATACAAAAATTATAAAAAATATTGCTCTTGAAGAGTTTCCAATACAAGACCTCCAATTCAATAGCGGAAGGGCTAACCAGTATTGTTGTTAATATGAATTATCAAATATATAATCTAAAAATTCTATCTATTATCAGCAAAAAATAAAAAATAAAAAAAAATCTCCCCAGCGAATCCAGCTAGGGTGGCTGCCCCCTAAAGCTGCCTCTGTATAAGATCTTGACATATTTACAGGAATGTGGTTAATAAACAAAGAAAAACAAGCTGGAGACAAACCTAAATATGAGAAGTTGGTTTACAAGGTTGTCTTAGATGATCAGATTTTGTTTTCTTGAGGTGGTCTTTGTTGCGCACTTCAGGGTTGGAGCAGTTATGTAACTGATAGAGTTATTATTGTGATTGTCATGCTTATTAAATGTTCAATAGTGGTTTGCATGACTTCATAGCATCCATATTTCTTGTGTAATATTATGCTTATGGTACTTTCCCTTTCCAATATACTTGAATTTTTTCTTCCCTGTATACCTGAATTCTCTTTCTTTCCTGTATACCTGAACCCTACATAGTTTTATAACTTTTGCACAATGCTACTTATAATTGAACGGATATAGTTAAATCTTAATTCATCAATTGACTGATTACAATGACTTCTGGATTTCCTTTTATACAGTAACCTGCATCCAGTTTAATCCTGTTGATGATAGATACTTCATCAGTGGATCTCTGGATGGCAAGGTGCGCATATGGAGCATTCCTGATCACCAGGTTGTTGATTGGAGTGATCTGCATGAAATGGTCACTGCAGCTTGCTATACACCGGATGGCCAGGTTTGGTACTGTAAATATTGTAATTGCTACTTAATTTATGTTGTCTGAGTAGGTTAGAGCATGAATGCTTACCTTATGGACATGCTCCAGTTAAAGATATTGTTGTTGATTTTGAAGGGTGCACTAGTTGGCTCATACAAGGGGAGTTGCCACTTATACATCACAACAGGTTTGAGATTATAACTTCATGTTAATTATACAAAAAAAGTGAAACATTCTGTTCAAGGGTTGGTGCACCTTTTATTTACGTGCTTCCTGTTTCCAGAAAATAAATTACAGCAAAAAAGTCAGATCAATCTGGAGAATAAGAAGAAGAAATCTCATCATAAGAAAATTACTGGTTTCCAGGTAATAATTTAATGGATATTCGCACTGCATGCACTTTTATCTTCTTTAGACTATAATAGCTTCTTTAGCCACACATGACCTTCTCTTATTTTTGAGAAATGAAGTGCAAGTCCATCTAGTCTTATGAATACTGATATTTTTCTTGGAACAGTTTGCACCAGGGAGTTCATCAGAAGTTCTCATTACATCTGCAGATTCACGAATTCGAGTTGTGGATGGTGTTGATCTTGTTCACAAGTTCAAAGGTATGCAATTACACAGCATTACAATTCCACTAGTACTTGAAAGTGGGAGAGGATTCTTTTAAATTCTTACAGTTGTAGTTATAATGGAAGTTCATGAAAGTTGTAACTTCTGAAGGTGTTTGGAGTTGCAATGTGATTGTTCTTACTTTTCAAATTCGTTAGGCTGTGGTCATTGCAGTTTATTTCTGGCTACTTAATAAGAAGGAAGTTCTGTTTAGTTTTCACATTTGGGATCAAGATACACAAGTCATTGGTGCCTCCTCCTATCAGTGAACGTGGTTTGTTTTTGCTGATTTGGATATATTCTATTTTGAATCCTGCAATTTCACCCCAAGAAGTAAATAGAGTACATCAGTGATCACTGAATCTTTTGAAGATTCTCATATTTATCCATCCCCAGTATCTGAATATATTCCCCTTCCAGATCGTCATTTGCATCTAGGCCTGCATTTTCCTATATTATTTGTCCTTACAGAATGTAAAACCTTATTTAGCTTTGATCTAAATCACTTTGTTACTCCAGGACTACTTTTGGAGGTCTTATTTCGTGATCGAATACTTGTCAAGAGCTTGGTGGTGTTAGTTATCACAACTACATATTCATGGTGTTTGGGAGACATTTTTATGTAAAAATGTAATTTTGAATAGTAAATTGATGGGAAATGTGTGGTTGAAAAATAAGAAAAGTTTTTGATTTACGTGTAATATTATTTTAATAAAGAATGTGTGGTTGAAAAGAAGAGAGAGAAAAATGCATTTTGAAAAAAATGGGTACCAAACGGAGCCATTATAATAAAAACCTGAAAATGTCATCTTTTCGAGGGAGTCAAGCGATTCTTTTTAAATGATTTGTTTTGCTGTTTTCAAGATAGTTCAATTTTACCTATTCTGGTAGTAATTAGTAAATGTTTGAAGCCATTGTTGGGAGCTATCCCTATGCCAAATTGTGTATCATTTGAAGATTTTCAACCCTTGCAGCCAACAATAGATCTTTTGCTGAATTTTTGACAGGGTTTCATAACACAAACAGCCAAATCTCAGCCTCCATTACGGCAAATGGAAGATATGTAATAAGTGCCAGCGATGATTCTTCTGTTTACATCTGGAAGCATGAAGGTGAATCACGACCAAATGGAAACAAAGGTGTAACTGTGACCCAGTCTTACGAGCATTTTCACTGTCAAGATGTATCGGTGGCAATCCCTTGGCCTGGTATTGCTGACACATGGGGATTTCAAGATACTTGTTCTGGAGGGCAAAATGGT